ACTGCTTCTTGGTCAAAGTATAGGTTTTGCATGAGCACAATTAAGTGTTCTGGCATCCCAATTCTTCTCAAGGTTAGCGACAATTTGTGATCCACACAGTGTCAGATGACTTTGCATAGTCAATGAAACACAGACATTCCTCTGGTCCTTTTCCACTTTCAGTCAAGATCCATCAAACGCTGGCTATTAGGTTCTTAGTGCCCTGGCCTCTTCTAAACCCAGCCTGCATATCTGGCAGTTCTCTGCTGATGGACTGTTCCAGTCATTTCTGGAACATCTTCAGCAGGATCTTGCTTGTGTGTGATATTAGTGATGTCATTAGAAAATGTTCATACTCTGTTGGGTCACCTTTGTTTTTTGAATGGGAATAAACACAGATCTCTTCAATCAGTTGGCCAGGTAGTTGTTGCACTGGGAAAATTTTCTGTCAGGGATTCTCCAAAAGTACTGAAAGATCAATGAGAGCAGTCTAAAGACTATACCTGGTCCAAGTATAGCATTTTCAACTGTGCTCTACATCACAGAGTTGGACAGTGAATAGGATGACAGAGTTGATTCTTTTGAATTGTCGTGTTGGAGAAGAGTACTGAATATTCCATGGAGTGCCAGAAGAATAAGTCTGTCTTAGAGGAAGTGCAGCCAGTCGGGTGCTCTATAGAGGCAAGAATGGTGGAACTCCCAACTCACATCCTTTGGTTGTCATGAAGGGCCAGTCGTTGGAAAAACACCACATGCTGGGAAAAGGTGGAATATCAGCGAAAGATGGACCCTCAACAAGATGGATTGACAGGGTGACTACCAGTGGGCTCAGGCATACCAGAGACAGGATGGGACAGGGTAGGGCCTGCTATGAGTCATCGCCAACGAGTATCACCTAACAACAACAAGGACAAAGAAGTAATGAGTTTCAAGTGCTGAGTTTTATTTTAATATAATTTAGCTGTAAATTTACATCATCCTTAATAATGGCTATTGAACAGCTGGCTTACAAAACACTAGAAGACACAAACATCAAATGCTGGCGAGGTTGTGGAGAAACTGGAACCCTTATTCACTGTTGGTGGGAGTGTAAAATGGTACAACCACTATGGAAGGCCATTAGGACACTTTCTCAAAAAGTTGCAAATAGTGAAGTCTCTCTCAGGGAGGAGTGATAGGGAATGGCAAAGGATACACTGACAAAGAAGATTAATCAGAACTGGCTTTGACAAGCACTGTGGCATTTGGACAAGAACAAACTGGGAGGAGGGTAGAGAGAATAGTGCAACAATGAATGAGTGGAAGCCCAAAATCTCTGTAAATGTTTATGAAAATTAATAAAATATAATTATAGAAAAAAAAAAGTTGCAAATAGAAATACCATTTGACCCAGCAATTCCACTACTGGGAATTTACCCTAAAGAAACCATAACCACCATCCAAGCATATATATGCACATCCATGTTTATTGCGGCTTTGTTCACAATAGCAAAGAGCTAGAAATAACCCATCAACAAATGAATGGATAGAGAAGCTCTGGTATATTCACACAATGGAATACTATGCAGCATTGAAAATCAAGGAACTCATAAAACATACAAAATTGGTGACCCTGGAGGACATTATGCTGAGTGAAAGAACTCAGTCACAAAAAGACAAATATTGCATAGGGTCACTGTTCTAAAACAGGACTGACATTGGGATTGAGGGAGGACAGAGAAGGAGGAGATGAATGATATATATCTACTGTATTGAAACAGATGAGGGAGAAAACTGTTTAAAAGGGATATATGATTGGGTATAATTGTCATGACAGGAGTCCAGAATGAAGGCTGCACAGTGGAGTGAACTTGGGGGGAGGGATTGCATAACAATGAAAGAGGTTTACTTTTCAAGGAGAAGAGTGAATTGGGGGGGAGGGGATGGGCATGGAGAAAAGTACAACCACGAATAAATGGAAACCCTAAATCTCTGTAAACTTTCATTAATAAAAGCAAACAAACAAAAAACTCTAGAAAACTTAAAAGTTCTCTTGAGCCAGTAAGAGCGAGTTCTCTCCCATCACTGGCAGGTGAGACTCAGCTCTGGCCAGAGATGTACAATTTCTCAATTCTATAAAAGCATTTTTTTGGGTGGACTACAGGTATTTTGAGAAAAGCAAAAATATATGAATTGATATTTTCCTTGAGAAATTAGAATTATTTTTCGTGAAAGCAGGCACAGCCTCAGCTCTTCCACTGCAGTCTTCCCAGCTCTAAAGGTCTTTGTGGAAGAGCGATTTTCCTAATTTGCTCTGGCTCAGACCCATCCCAGCAGGATCTGCTTTTGCCTCCATGATGTTCCTGGCACTCTTTTGAGACAGACCCAGACCCTCATCAGGATGGCTGCTTCTACTTTCTTCCTGAGCGCTGGTGACAAGAGGATCCCACCCTGGATCCAGGGTCCAGGAAAGTTAACAGTCCCAGCTGGGCCCTTTTCCTTTGGCCTGGGGTCTACTGGTCTCTCAATAGGCCATGGCTATTCTCATCTTACCTCACCTCCCTGAAGACCAGAACCTGGCTAGCTCCTGGGATAAGGGGTAGGAATGGAGGATGCTTTAGAATAGCCTCTCTGGTGGCCTAATAGAGAAGAAGTTGAGCTGCCAAGCCAAAGACAGGTGGTTTTAATTTACCAGCTGTCCCACAGGAGAAAGATGGGCTACCTATTGAACGATGTACAGCCTAGCCTCTGGAAACCCCCTGTAGACTCAGCTAAGAGTCAGTTCCAACTTGACAGCACATTACAACACCCTCTGAGACTATGAGACTGAAATACAGCACTCCATCCACTCTCATAGTCACAACTCTGAGCATACATTCTTTTTTTAAAATTTAAAATTTTTGGCGAGCTCTGATGGCCTAGGGGCAAGAAGCTGCACTGCAATTCCAGAGGTGCATGGTTCAAATCCACCAGATGCTCTGCTGGATAAGGAGGAACAATCTCCTCTTGTACTGGCCAGATCTGATTTGACAGTACACACACACACACACACACACACACACACACACACACACACAAATAAAATTTAAAATTTTTATTTAATACTGGTTTACTTAAAAAGTTCTTACACATTCTTCACCATAGCAGATCTTTCCCATTTCCTTTCCCCATTTTTCCCTCCACCCATCAAATTGTGCAACCCTATGATTAGTACCCTGCCTATCCTTGCCCCTCTGTTCCCCACCCCCCATCCTCATACACGTTCTACAATAAAGGTCTTACACCATTATTTGTCTTCATGGAACTGAGGCAGTTCACTTAGCATAATGCTCTCTAGTCCCTCCCACGTTAGGTAGTAATTTACAAAATCATTGCTTCTGGGTGCTGCGATCCTGTGAATGTACTGTTAATTTCTCACTCCATTAGATTTTGGTTGGACATTTTGGCTGTTTCCATGTTTTTGCAATGATGAGTAACATTGCTATGAATACGGGTGTACAAGTCTACGTTTGTGTCTCAGTTCTCATTTGGAGATACACTCTTATCTGCACATCAGCTTTTCAAAAGACTGCAAGTACAGCTGCCAATCTCTCATGCCTTCTGTCCTTGCCTAGACTACTAGCCCCACAAGCACCTGTGGACCCTAGAAGCTGCCTAGGTGAGCAGGTTAGGGGCTCTATCGCACCACTCAGGGGAGGGGAAGAATTGTGCAGGTGAGGTAATGAGCTGGCTCTGAGAACATATTTATTCAGCTGTTGCCTGAAAACCCATTATAGCCCCTCTGGAAGGTGGAGTACAAAGGTCACCGCTCAGGATCAACTTGTGACCTCAGTTGTAGGGTGTTTCTGTCCTCAAGACTTGTCTATCACCAGCTGCTCTGCTAGAGGAGGGGCAATCTCTAATAATAATAATAATAATAATAATAATAAAATAAATACTAGAGTTCCTGGGACAAGGAGTTGGGTGAGATGATGCTACCTGGTCACCTCCTTCGAAGACACCCTGGAAGAGGAGTAAACATGCTATAAAGAGGGACTCCTCCGGGTGGACCCTCTCCACCTCCCTCCCCTGCCCTCTGGCTTGTGCTGAGACAGTAGCCACTTTTGTAGTTCAAAAAAACGCTTCTTCTGTTGCTCAGAAAAATGTTATTTGCGTCAGCCGGAGAGCTGCCACAGCTGCCTGCTTTAGCTTTCACCCTCAAAGGAATCAGGATTCTCCCGATCGGTGTATGTTGACTTTGGGCTACTCGAGCCCAGACAACGATTCCCCGGACAGGGGATTATGGGAAATGTAAGGGCGGAGCTAACGCACTGGGGGCGTGACTGACGCCGGAGGGGCGGGGCCGACGACGGAAGGGGCGGTTCCTCTCGCGAGAAATCGAAGCTTTCCGGGCCGGCTGGGCCTCCCCTGACGCAGACCCGGACGTCGAGAGGGCGGAAGTGGGTGCTGAGCGTCGGAACCTCTGGTCTGCTCTTCCCAGGCTCGGGGACGGGTTTCGAGTAGGACCGGAAGTACCTGTGCGCACCAGCCAAATGTCAGTTTATGACAAAGCTGAGTGGTGTTTGTGAAGGGTTGGCGGGAAGTCAGAAGGTCGAAGAGGTCTTTTTGTGCGGGCTCTAGGGACAACAGAGAGGACCTGAGGCGTTCGGCAGCGCGAATCGCTCCCGGATGAGCCTGGGGACAGGAGGGGACCTGTTTTCCGAACACCCTGCGGCCTCAGGTCCTGCCTCCTGCTGCATTCTCGTGCCTCCGCCGTTGTGGGCTTGGGTGCCTCCGCGGGGAAACGAGTTCAGGGCCGTCCTCGACTTGCCTGAGGTCACACAATGGGGAAAGGGATTTGAGTCTGGTCGTAGGAAGGAGAGAGCGGGTTTGAAGTATCCTCATGGTGGGATGGAGTGACCGAGGGTGATAGAGTTCAGGAGTCTGGGCAAAATCGTCCGTCATCTTGTTGAAGGCACTAGCAGCCGCTCCCGCCTGACCTCTCTACGGGCACCTGTGTTCTAGCTTTTCTGAGTACCTGGAGCCATCACCACCCACAGACAATGTTCTTGGGGCGTCTGACTTCTCAGCTGGTCAGGGCTGCTTCACAGGCAGGTAAGATCCTGCTAGGGGCAGATGGGAGGGACGCGCACCCGAGTTAGGCATATGTAGGGGGCTCAGCTGTCAAACCCCCTCTCCATCGTTGGAGCCCGAGACTCAGCCATATAAGCTCTTAACCCTGCAGCCAGGCCCTTGCTGAGTTCAGGTAAGGCTAACAGCTGAGCATCCTACAGAAGAAGTTTGGGTCCCAAGGTTGCAGGGCTTACATGGCAGGAATTAGATGTGGACCACCCTATGTGCGGTGTGGGTGACCATGGGGATGCCAGTGGTGACTGTCACTTGTTCTCACAGGCCGATGTCTGCCCTGGCCTCTCTCAAGGATACCTGGTACCGGTGCCTGCAGGCTCCACTACAGCATTCAACCAGTGAGCCCAAATGGGGCTATCTTGCTACCTGGCAGGGGGACCCAGCTGGACCTGGACGAGGTGATGGTTCCCCGGAAGATGTCCATCAGCCCCCTGGAAAGCTGGCTAACTGCTCGCTGCCTCCTCCCCACTCTTGGTGCTGAGGCTCCAGGAACAGTGACTCCTGCCCAGCTCTATAAGTGTCCACCTGGCCACTCAGGGGAGGGGACTGAGCAGGGGAGTAATGAGGTCTCAGATGTGCCCCAGATACAGTGTAAAAATGTGCTAAAGATCCGCCGACGAAAGATGAACCACCACAAGTACAGAAAGCTGGTCAAGAGGACTCGCTTCCTGCGGCGGAAGATCCGCGAAGGTCGCCTGAAACGGAAGCAGGTAAGACTGGGGTGGGGGGTGGGGTGGAGGGGCCGCAGAGGACAGGTGGCTGAGGTCGCCCAGCTTGCCTCACACACATCAGCCAGCGATCACCCTTCTGCTTTCACAGATAAAATTCGAGAGAGATCTACGGCGTATTTGGCTGAAGGCTGGCCTAAAGGAAGCCCCTGAAGGTTGGCAGACCCCCAAGATCTACCTGAGGAACAAATGAGCATTTCTACCCCACCTTTGTCACCATCTCCATCACTGCTGCTGATACCTTGTAATAAAAGATCAGAGATCCTACTTGTCCCTGAACTAGCCAATTGCCTTTTTTGCCTGGGTTGTGGTCTTGTGAAGTCTGACGTCAGTCTTTGGCATTGCTGGTTCCTGATATCCCAGGCTGGCAGATTGACAGCCCTTCCCCCTGGTTATCTTTAGTCCTGATAATGTAGGAGCAGCCCCACAGGCTCCTGCTCATCTGGATGGGGCTAGTAATAATGAATGTGTGCCGTGTACCGGACCCACTGGGATCTCAGCAGAGCCCCTGCCCAGGCCTTCCAGTTTTCCAGGGGATGTAGGCTGGTCCCATGCACAGGGTGGGTAGAAACTTAAGGATACCCAGGCAGGGGTAGGGCCAAGTTATATTTTATGTGGGAAGCAGAGAAGGCAGACAGGAAAGGCCCTGGCATCCTCCACAGATGGTGAGGTGGCACTGAGGGCTCAGCAAACTGCCTTGAATGGCCTTCTGTGTCATCCTGCTTCTTTGCCACAGGCCATGTGTGTCAGAGAGCCAGGCCGGGTGCCAGCGGGGCTGTCAGCCTTCCCAGGCACCTTTTCCTAGGTCACAAGGCTGCTTGCTGTTGGCTCCTTGGCTCCAGCCATTTCCTGGGCTCTTGAGTGTTTGTGGAGGTGGGAGCTTACCAGGAAGGGCAGGGAAGGCTCAGGATTTTATTCAGCTGAGGAAAGGTGACTACTGGGGCCGGGGTGGGGAGGCGCTGGAAAAGCTCTCTGGCTGTAGCTTTAGAGGTTCCTTGTCCAGGATTTAAGGTCACTGCTCCTTGGGTTAAGAGCACTTTGTCTCCCTTACAGCAGAGTCTAGAGGAGCTGGGTGAGGCTGGGGCTTGTCATTGGGAGGTTGTCCTTGTCCCGGCCCCTTCTACCTATCCTGGCTTCCCAGTAATTTAGAGAAGCACAGCTTATCTCAGCAGTCAGGGGAACTCAGTGTTAACCCCATCACCAGGGTTGTGAGGGATTCTCATCTTTTGTCATAGAAATATTTTTAGGCCAGGCTTGATTGAGTCCCTGCAGGCTGGCTGGATCTTCCTGACAGACTCAGTCTCCCAGCTGATTGTGGAAGGGGATGATCCTTGAGCTCCAGATTCCACAGGGGTCCTTGCCTTACCAGCTACCGAGGGTCCTTGACAGCTAGGATTTCTGTGTGGTGGGCTAGGAAGCTGGCTTTGCTCTGGAGGCTGACAGCCTGTGGCGCCAAGGTGCCCGAGGCCGTAGAGAGGTGCCTGTTTTTCCTATGGGTGGCCACAAGGTGGCAGAAGCCAGACTCCTAGTGGCATGGAGACAGTGCGGGGGGAGGGAGGGGGAATTGGGGGCAGAAAGCAGGAGGCCCTCCTAACCTGGTCAAGAGAAAGGGAGGGCCCAGCCGAGCAGGAGTGAGTGTCCATATCTGTGACTTGGGTAGGGAGCCTAGGGCCAGGTCCCGATGGGAAGCCTCTGGAATACATACCAGGCCTAACCTCGACATAGTGGCTCCCGCCAGTTCCACCCACATCTGCCCATTTTCCTGCCAAGCAAGAATCCACACCCCACTCCCACTCTCCCTCCTGTGGGTAGAAGGCGAAGCCAGATGCAAGTCTGTGCTCTGCCTTGGGACATCTAGTGGAGACGACATAGTGGAGGCTCAGCACTTGGGAGCTTAGCTGGGAGGCTGCCCAATGCCACTGGAAGGAGACAGGCTTCACAGCCCCAGGCACCTCTGGCGCCGCTAAAGTCTATCCAGCCTAATTTGGAGACCCACTGGGCTTGTAGCCCTACCGCCTGCTTCAAGGCAGGGGTCGTAAACCAGGGCATGTTGTGAATGGCAGCACAGGAGGTGCCACCAGCATCTGGTGAGTGAAGGCCAGGAATACTGCTCAGTGCCCCATAGTGCCCACCACAGTCTGGCCTTGACCGCAGCACAACTTTTGCTGAGACCTTGCTCTGGGGAGGGCCTGGGTACTGGGGTTGGCTCACCAGTTCCCTGTGCTCGCCCCTCAGGTGGGCAACCACTTGCCCGCCCTTGTTGGGGGCACGCTGCAAAGCACACCTTCCTCTCTGGCTTGGAAGCCGTTAGACCATAACTGCAGCCTTGGGAGGCAACTTTGAGGCTTTATTATTTTTATCTCTTACGCACCTCCTCCCTGTGGTCCCCAGCCCACCCCAGCCTTTGAGGGTCAGCTGGCCCTTCTACCGTGGTCTCCTCCCTTGCTCTGTGTGACCACAGGCCCCAGGAGTGGGAGTTGGTGGTTGGGACCATGTGCTGTGGTTCTGGCACTGGACCCATACCCTCCTCCTGGCCACAGTTTGGCTTCCAGGCAGAGGCACTCAGCCAGGCCACAACTGAGAGGAGTAGGGAATTGGATAGTTCTGGGCATATGTTGGGGACCCTGCTCTGGGGGAGGTATGGGATAGCACTTGCAAGATGCTTCATTCTGAATCATTCCTTGCCTAGGGTGCAGTATCCAAGATCTCACTCATGGGCTGTCCCAGTCCAAAGCACCCTGCTCCCATGGCCCAAACCCGAGAGAAGGGCTTCCCAGCAGCCTCCTATCTTAACCAAGGAGCCTCTTGGTGCCCTGTCCCCAGGATATGGGTGCGGGGTGTGTGTGTGTGTGAATGAACTCTGGGCCCCGGGCCCAGGTTGCTGGCTGGGCTTGTGGGGCGAGGCTCTGCCCAGCAAGCTCCTCTAGGTGGGCATTGGGACCCTGGGTCCTGTCTAGGGGTTGGGATAGGGTTTCTTTCTAGGGATGTGCATCTCTCTTAGTTTTAGAAAGGCCCTTCTTAAAAAAAAAAGGCCCTTCTTGTCCCTAACCAACTGAGTGACCTCAAGATGGGGCTGAAAGGCTCCCATTGAGATCTGGAGTTATGTTCAAAGTGGGTTTTTGGAGAGCTTTTGCTGGAACATGTCCTCATCGAAGGGACGTGAACAGGAGGGGCCAAAGGAGACCAACACCCTGCTATAGTCCAGTCACCCTGTAGTCCAGTGATGCAGGCTTTTAATACTGGCCACCAGGGGGCACCACTAACTAGATTTGATAAATGAGGAAACTGGGTCCAGTGACCTGAGTCACAGCCGGTATGTGCGCAGCTGGGATTGACAATTGAGGAATCTTGAGGGAACCGGGGTGATGCTGGCTGATCTGCATATATTTGTTATGACTGGTTTTCTGTGGGGTGATCCGACCCGCTCAATGTCTCCAAGTGTATCGGGTATTGTGTGCGTGTTTGTCTATGTACATGTGTGAGAGTATTTGGAGATCATTTGTCTAAGTGGGGAAGTGCTGCAAGGTGCGAGATGGTAGGTGGGGCAGGATGAGTACCAGCGTCTGTGTCCTGACAGCTGCCCTGAGGTCAGCCCCACACCACATATCCGCTTTAGTCTGTGGCAGTACAGGTGCTCCTCCTGCCGGCACCTGAAGCAGGAAGGGGTGTGTGTTTGTGCCGGGCTCTTTGATGCTCTCAGGAGCATTGGGACACAATGGGGCAATGGGGATGAAGTCCAGGTGGACAGTGGAGTAGTGTTAAAAATCTCCACCCCTTGAGGAAGAGTGCTGTGCATTGGTGATCCAGAATCACAGTTGGTGAAGATGGGAAGGGCGACTGACCCCTGGCTCCTTCCTGGCCACCAGTGTGGAGGGAGGCACCACTGTGTGGAGGGTGGTCTGTTGGCCATGCCCGGTATAGTCCAACCTCTAGCGGAGGAGCACTCCACTCACTGGGAAGTCAGGGTGGCCGCCTGGCCAAGGGTGACAATTATCCCATATGCCCAGGATGTTCCTGTGGTCAGCACAACTTGGCAAACAGGGAAGCTGGTCTCCCTCCCGGGGAGTCCTGGGTGGTGCTCACATTGCCTTCACCCCAGCAGGCAGATGCTCAGCGGGGCAGCTTCCTGAATGCTCGAGCTTGTTTTCAAGTCATCAAAAATAGCCGCACTGTGGCCTCTGCTTGGAGTTCAGTGTCCAGGAGCCTGCCGGTGAGTCCCTCAGCACCCCCACCCACCACCGACTCCATCCATGCCCCAGATGCCCAGATAAATGCATGAGGTCCCAGTTCCTAAGCCCTGCCTGGTCCACTCCTTGTGCCTAGTCCACCTGGATCCCTTGGGGGACTAGCCAGGAGACTGCAGGCCAAAAGGCAGGATGTAATGAGGCTTCTGCTGAGGAAGAGGACCTGGATCTCCCCCTATTGCCTGGGCTGCGTCCCTGGGCCTGGGCACAGATGGGAGTCCTTGAGGTGTGAAGGGCACCTGCCACTCCTGAGTCCAGGTGAGGCAGGCCTGGCCATCACATCCTGAGGGCTGGGCTGGGTCAATGCAGGGATTGAGGGCCAGCAGAGCACTGGCCTTGGGCAGGGCTCCTCACCTCCATCAAGATGATTCCATCACTGTTCTTGGTTTTTTAACTTGATATTTGAAACTGACATTTTAATGTTTATTTTTCAGACAAATAAGATTGTCTAGAATTGAAAGTAAACTTGTTCAAGGTTTATAACAAAACAGCAGTTTCTACCCACCCTGAGCCCTCCCCACCTGAGACAAGGGCCTCGCTCCCTCGGAATTCTTCAAGCATTCCTTCCCATGTTTCTAAAGAACATACCTGAATATTTCTTGAGTTCTTGGATTTAGACACACATGTTGCTTTCCTTCTCTGGGAGGACACAAGCTTGCTCAGACTTGCCCTCCATAACCTCCCCATGTCCTGAGTAAGCTGACACTGTGTGTGTACCTGTTGGAGGTATTCACACCTGGCCTTTAGCACGTCAGCAAGATCACATTTCTTCCCCCCCTGCCCCCCCCCCATTTTGGTTCTTTTTTAACTTTCTTTTCTCTACATCTGCAACTAATACAAGAAGCCCTGGCAGTTTAGTTTCTGTTTCTTGGGCTTCTTGGTAGCAACCCAGAAGGAGAACTGTTCAAGTCCACCAGCTGCTTTGTGGGAGGAGGATGGGGCCGTTTCC